ATCTGTTTAAACTGTATGTTAATATATCTGTTTAAACTGTATGTTAATGGATCTGTTTAAACTGTATGTTAATGGATCTGTTTAAACTGTATGTTAATGGATCTGTTTGAACTGTATGTTAATATATCTGTTTGAACTGTATGTTAATGTATCTGTTTAAACTGTATGTTAATGTATCTGTTGGAGCTGTATGTTAATAGATCTGTTTAAACTGTATGTTAATGGATCTGTTTGAACTGTATGTTAATGGATCTGTTTAAACTGTATGTTAATGGATATGTTTAAACTGTATGTTAATAGATTTGTTTGAACTGTATGTTAATAGATCTGTTTAAACTGTATGTTAATGGATCTGTTTGAACTGTATGCTACTGGATCTGTTTGAACTGTATGTTACTGGATCTGTTTAAACTGTATGTTAATGGATCTGTTTGAACTGTATGTTAATAGATCTGTTTGAACTGTATATTAATGGATCTGTTTAAACTGTATGTTAATGGATCTGTTTAAACTGTATGTTAATGGATCTGTTTGAACTGTATGTTAATGGATCTGTTTGAACTGTATGTTAATGCATCTGTTTAAACTGTATGTTAATGGATCTGTTTGAACTGTATGTTAATGGATCTGTTTGAACTGTATATTAATAGATCTGTTTAAACTGTATGTTAATGGATCTGTTTAAACTGTATGTTAATAGATCTGGTTGAACTGTATTTATTATGTCACTAGCACGTGTTCATATTAAAAGCTATAGTTTACCACGACACAATAAGCAGGTTTTTAGTTCTGTATGATACCTGCCTATATCATGTGTTTTATGGACTTACGATGGAAGACATATAATTAAAACAAAAATACAATCACAGCAATGTTTACAGTAAGCCAGTTCTGATTCTAATAATTACGACGTTTCGACCTTTAGTATTGGGTCATTGTCAGGTAAGAGTTGCATTCAAATTAATGTTAATTATGAAGCCATTTTTAATCCCTTTTGGTTTCATATGAAACCGCAAGGAACCGTTCATTAAGTGTACCGCTTCGTGAGTATTGCAGTTAATACTAAATTATCTGTACCTTTGTGGATTATACAGATAAACTTATTACACGAACACTGCTCACTCACATGATGTCCTGGTTATACCCAAATCTTGTTCATGGTTCACGTTTCTCTTTTTATCTTGAAACTTGCACACTTATTAGGAATATCGTTAAATAAAGTTATTTATTTTGTAAGATTTCTGGAATCACGAAACAAACTAAAGTATCACTTTCAATAATACTGTGTAATAGTTTTTGCTTTCATTGACAAAAAAAAGTAAGATACGACAGGTTTTCCTCAGTTCCCCATAATTAGGCTTAAGACTCTGTCAATTACCAACCCACAACTAGTTTACACAGAGATAACGTAGCACCACCTATCAATTTTAATAAAGCATTCTCACGTGCACCCACCTGACACATACACATGGCCTGGTCTAGTTTCATAATTTGTAGGAGTTTCCACCCACACCTGCGCCCACAAGCTTGGTAAATCTCTTTAAGGTGGGATCCTCATAACTTTAAAACGTTACATACACCTCGTGTTGTTGAAATAGTTTCCATAACTCGGATATATATATATATATATACTCTTAATAAGATATCACGATATATATATATATATATATATATA